GCTTGAGAATTATAGCCACCCCAGCTTGACTCCTGGCTCTGCTCTGCCTTCTCCTGCAAATCCTTGCACGAAACTGTACTACTGGTGCCCAACTCACCATTAATTTTATGAAGCTTAAAAAAGATAAAGCATACAAAGCACTCACTAGCACAAGGCCAGGCACATAGTAATAACAATTGTGACTTCACATGCATTGCCTTAACCAGGAATGTTAGGTCATTTCCTCAAAGTGACTTGCTAGAAGGGAGTCAGGGTCCAGGGTCCCACCGCTCATACTTGACTCCACACCTCCTCAGTAAACCCCAGTTATTGCTGTTGTCATCAAGGTCACTGCTGTTATAAGTTCTCATTCCTGTTGCTGCAGCGAAAACCATTAATGGAGGACAAACCACAAATTATCTCCAGGATGGCTGGAGAAGTGGGACTGCAGCAACAATTTTCTATTGCTGCTCTGGGTGAGGGAAAGTTAAACTGAATGACTAAAACCAAGGACTGCAAGTCAGTCTTAGCCCGGATCAGACTAGGCTCCCTCCACACCACCAAGGTTAGGCCTGCCTAGGGGATGCTTCATGTCAGGAATTATGAGCTGAAAAGAACAAAGAAGACACCAGGGGAAACTAGAAGAACACCAAATAAATGGAGGGGGAAGGGTCCCCGGTGGCACTGCTGGGTTGGGCACTAACTTGTAGCAGAAGTTGGCGTTATGCTTATAGAACCGGCAGAGGTTCCCATCATCAGGGGGCGTGGCACAAAAGAAGATGGACGGTGACAGGTTGTATCGGCCGATCTTGCAGAATTCATCCGTTTCTCGGGGAGCACCAGGCTCGATAGCCACACGATCACCTGGAGAGGGAGACACAAATGGGACAGAGTTGCTGTGAGGGGATGTAGGCTCCTGGACAGATACCAGCTGGGGAATCTGGCAGAATGAGCAACCCCCCTTCCTGGGAACCCTAGGTGTCCTAGGCAAGCCCAGCCCATTAGTGCTTCCAAAGGAAACACAGGACACAGCACAGACTCACTCTGGGAGGGAATGATATTGTCTACCTATATTCAATTAACATTTAGCTACATTTACTTTATCACATATCCATCCATCCATCTCTCTTCTATCCATCAATCCATCTTTTCTAATGCATTTCAAAGTAGGTTACAGACATTAGTACACTTCATTTTTAAATACTTCATCCTGCACATCATCAACCAGAGTTCAATACTTGTTTATGATTCTTTTTCAAGGTAAATTTTTGATATCGATGAAATATACAAATCTTAAGTGGGTTCTTGGATTAATTTTGATAAACACATTCACTTGTGTGACATAAACCCCTAACAAGATACAGAACATTACCACTACCTTGGACATTTCATTCTTGTATTCTTTCCTATCATTTCACGCTCCCACCCCAGAAGGATGCTCTAGTGGCATTAGGGCCCTCCTGAGCCTGAAGACTATCTTGGCGGCCTGAGAAGAACCCTAGGAGGTGTGCCCTTAACTAAGTAGAGACATGTTAGGCTATTTTTGATGTCTTTTGTGTTAAAACTACCCACATACGAGTAGAGTCCTGGCATGTCGCTCGTGCTCATTTAAAGTAGTGGTGGTGATGTTGACAGTAGTAGTAGTAATACATAATAGTATTAACTTTTTATTATGTTCATTGTTATTATAATTATCTGAGCTGGTATTATTGTAGAAGAAATTCAAACTGTAAGATAGATGGCCAGATGGTATATAAATTCGGACTTTTTCCATGCCTTGGATTTACTGAGTCTTAAGATTTATGTTTAAATTTTATAAACAAATATTAAGAATTCAATGAGTGGTTATTTCCTTTCTGGATTAGTTGATTAGAACTTTAAGTCTAAAGCTAGCAATTTAACACCTCAGTAAAACTTTTGTATTCTAAAAGTACCTACAAAATCCCTGTGACCACAAAAATGTGTTCCTTTACCTGTATTTTTTCCTTCTACCTCCTCTACCTTCTCTGCTGCCCTATGAATTTTCTCCAAGCTAAGCTTCTACCATTGACAATGAATTCTTCAACTTAGCATTCAAGATCCTCCATATTAGGTGTTCATATTATTGTTTTGTCTTCTAATTATTATATCATAATAATATATTATGATATATATTATAATACATTATTATATATTATATAATAATATATTGTTCCCTAACTGTTGATATTTATATTATGTCCTGATGTCTGGTCTCCCCAACTAGGTCGAATATAATATTACAATACCTCAGTTGTATGGTGCTTTTCAAGGAGTGACTTTTGCAGAGTATGCATTCTTACCTCCACTAACTCCCCAACATAGAACCTCTGCTCCAAGCAGCATAGAGATTTATTAGCAACCCAAATATGTAACTACCATCTCTGTAATTTTATTATTCTGTCCCTCATAACTGGAATATTAGCTCCTGATCTCTTTACTAACTCAAGTACAAAACCTTTCTCATGTCTCCAGATGCTGGGCCGCCCAGTGGTTCTGCGCACTTGCTCGAGAGTCAGAAAGAAGAAAGCAAGGCACCCCAGCTCTGACACTAACTAGTGTGTGACCCTGGGCAATCTCCAGGCTTCACTTTCTTCATCTGTTAACAAGGAAAATAATGCCTATCTTGTAGAGTTGTTTCAAGAATGAAGTATATAATTATATATTAGTGTTTAACATGAAGACTAACAAATAGTAAATCAATAAATGTTTATTTGCCTTCTTTTTCTTCTTATAATTATTATTGTTAAATGTCTAGCTCAAAGACCTATCTCCTCCATGAACCTTCTTAAAAGGTTCTTTCTTTGAACTTTTTGAACCTATTCTTTACTGATTGTACCGTGTGGTCTTGTTCCCTAACTGTGGATATTTATATTATGCCCTGATGTCTGGTCTCCCCAACTAGATCGAAGCATTTAAGGATCACATCATCTCAATTTTCTATATTCCTCAAAGCACCTGGCACAGGCTTGACCCATTGTCGATGCTGACTAAGCACCTGTTATAACTTAAATTTAGAGAACCCCACTCCTTGTTATGATATATATTTAGAGACTTTGTCCCACAGGTAAGAACCAATCAGTGGCTGTTGGAAGCTACATGAACCTTCCACTTTGGGAAAACCCTGCAAAACCTCAGGGGCTTTCTCAATTTTACTAGTGATGAATAGAGGGCCTGACTTAACATTCCTAAATGAGATACATATCTATCTTCAGAGCTGCTGGTCGATCCTTCCCCATGTAACTGTGCTTAGAGACCCTTCTAACTAACACAGGATGACACATCCTGCCAACCTTCTCCTTCCCCCAAATAATCTGATGCCATCTCCAGGCTGTGCAGTAGCCTCAAAAGCTCAGGAAGGTTAAAGCCAACGGCTAGCTATGCCAAGACAGTTTGGATTTAATTCACCACGTTGGGGAACATCATGATCTGCCATAGCTAAGAATTCCTCCCTCCAGGAGAATGAATTAAGCAAATCTAGAATATTGGTTTCCTAGCAATCTAGTAAAATCAAAGACTGTTTCAAAGGCCCTGGTTCTCAGAATGTGGCTACTGTGCCTGGAACGTTTTCCCCACCCCTTTACCTGTGCCTGGAACGTTTTCCCCACCCCTTGCCTGCTGGTATTGACTTCATTGTCCCTTCTTCAGACTAGTCAGGGGTCTGGGGAGAAGACATCGACCACACCCTGTATTCTTCCCTGCTACCCTCAACACAATTGTAATTAAGAAACTATCTGTGCGTTCCAGTTCTGGCTCCCCCTGCAGAATGTAAGATCAATGTGTGTAAGAGCTGAGACTGTCGCATTGACTACTGCGTCCCCAGTGTTTAACAGAGGGCCTGGCCCCAAGAAAGCTTGCACAAACATTGATGTCGAATGAATAAATAGATCCATTAGCCGAAGGGCTTTGCTGACCTGGTTTTAAGTGCTTTACCAACGATCCCACTTTTATGACTGTTCCTGAAGCTTCATGGCCCAGCACCATTGGCTTTTTTACAACAAAATCCCCAATTCGACCATGCTGCCAGTAGTGGACATCTGAGCCGCAGATTCCAACGGAATGCATCTTCAGCAGCACCTCTGATAAGAGAAAGGAGAAGGAGAAAACAAGTGAGGGAGGGAACGACGTCTCTAGCACCCTGAGACACCCTGGTGATTCTCTTCTGGATGAAGGAGAGGGCTTGGTTTCAAAGGCCAGTTAAAAAATTTAGACCATAGAAGAAAACAAGCTATACAGCCACACTGATTAAGTCTTGCAAGGCAAGAAAGCTTCCACAGAGCAATATAACTGCACGTGAGGGTGAATTCTGTGTGTCAGCTTGGCTAGGCTCAGGTGCCCAGTTGTTTGGTCAAATGCTAGATGTTGCTGTGAAGGTTTTTCATATGATTAACATTTAAGTGCCCCCATGTTCACTACAGCATTATTTACAATAGACAAGATATGGAAGCCTGAGTGTCCATGAATGGATAAATGGATAAAGAAAATGTGGTATATGTACAACAGAATATTATTCAGCCATAAAAAAGGAAATCTTGCCATTTGCAACAACATGGATGGACCTTGAGGACATTATGCTAAGTGAAATAAGTCAGATAAAGACAAATGCCATATGACCTCACTAATATGTAGAGTCCAAAAAAAATTAAATAAAAACAACAAAAAGAAAAAAACCAAGCTCACAGGTAGGGAGAACAGATTGGTAGTTGCCTGAGTCTGGGGGTGGTGCTGGATGAAATGGGTTAAGAGGGTCAAAAGGTACAAACTTCCAGTTATAAAACAAATAAATCATGAGGATGTAATGAACAGCATGTAAACTATAGTTAATAAAACTGTATTGTATATTTGACAATCTGCTTAGAGATCTTAAAAGTTCTCATCACAAGAAAAAGTTTTATAATTACGTAAGGTGACAGATATTAACTAGGCTTATTGTGGTGATCATTTCACAATGCAAATTTCAAATCATTATGCTGTGTACTTGAAACATAACATGGCATGTCAACTGTGCCTCAATTAAAAAAGACATTTAAATAATAAGACTTTGAGTAAAGCAGATTACCCTTTATAACATAAAGTCTCATCCAATCTGTCGAAGTCCTTAAAAGACAAGACTTAAGATTTCCTTAAAGAAGGAATTCTCAAGACTGCAACATCGATTTTTATCTGAATTTCCAAACTGCTGGTCAGCCCTATAAATTTCAGGCTCGCCAGTCCCTACAATCCCGTGAGCCAATTCCTTAAAATCTCTCTCCTGCCCTCTCTACATATACATGTATGATAAATCTATGTATAAATAAATCTATAATAAATCTTTCTCTCGGTTCTGTTTCTCCGGAGAACTTGAATACACTGCATAAACAAGATATTAGTAGGAAGAAATATATTAAACCCGTGAGAGAACTTCTCTAGAAGAAAACTTTCCAGACAATGTGATGTGCCACATTGTTGTCTACTCATGTAGGGGAGACTGGCAGAATCCAGGCTTGGCAACACTTTGTGAGCTATCGGGCTGCATTGTCATGCCTGTTGTTTTGTTACAAAGTGCAGCATTAATTTAAACCACCAAAAGATTTCAACCAGCATTTCCCCATTCACAGGTCTGAATATAGTGATATTTGGTGGTATTGTTGTTGTCAGTTTTCCAAGTTTAAAAAATGATCCTAGTGAGGCTCTTTGCTCAAGTAAGTCCTAAAAGATTACTAGCCTAGTCTGACTGAGATGAACACGTTACAAGTATCTCCCTGAGAAAAAGCTCTGCCTTAGAAAGACAAAGAGGCCCAAACCTCTGCTATGCATTCAGGTATCTTACACAAACAATTGCCACAAACCATGGGCGATCTGCCAGGTGTGGTTCCGTAGAACTTTCTCCATCCTTGGTTTTGGTGAACAGAGTAAGAAATGGCAGGATGAGTTCTGAGATCAAAGGCAGGGAAAGTTATTTGAGTTAGAAAAAATATCTCAGGGTTTCCTCTCTTGAATTTACCAATTTGTAATTAGAGGTTAAATTTGACTCGCTAAAACTCTCTTTGAAGTTTACCACTGTTTTCCCTTCTAATTCAAGGACAGCAATAGACAAGAAAATGTGAGCAGAATGCTGCTTCAGAGACAGAAGCAGTATCAAGATCCTTTGAGTCCAAGCTAGCCCTTGTTTGGCCGTCTCTGGGATCCACATCAACTTTTCAGGACACAGTGAGCTGCCTCCTTTACTTCTCCGAATGATATCTTGGTGAAAATGTGTAAGCCCTAAATATACATTACTTGCTAAATACTGACAGGAACATCTCTTATCTGTATTCTTATCACTACAAATAAATAACCCAGCTAACCTTTGAGTTACAAAGCTGTGGAGGCCAAAGGAAAGCTGCCTTCAATCTGATGTTCACACGGAAGTTACAGTTGTGGGGTAAGGTAGGAAAGCATATCCCCAACCCATCAAGGACAGAAAGAAAGGGGATCTGAGCAGCTGGGTATAGGATGAGCTATCTAGACACTCTGCCCCTTGCTCTCAGCCTCATTTCAGGGTCCTGAAGATCAAGAAGTGGGACTCTAGGGATGGGAGGGACTGGAAAACTGTCAACAGAGATCTGCCTTAGCCAATAGGGTGGCATTATCTCTCCAGGTACAGCCAGGAAACGTGCTAGCTCAGACTCAGGCTCGCCCAGTGAGAGACCAGGAGTGCAGCAAAGGTGGCGGGAACCCTGCCCCAGTGTGCTCACCTACTTTCTGCACCTGGTTGATTAGAGCAGTGGGGCAGGGTTCCATGCAGCCCCTCCCATTCCCAGCAGACAGAAGGTCCTGGTCTTCCTGGCATGACGCTTTCTTTTCTAACTAAGAGATTAAGGTCTGCAGACTCACTTCTTTTCAAGGTTTGGGTTAGGGTTAGGACATGATTTGACTACTAAAGAGTGGCTTATAGTAGATAGGGTAACCTGACTCTGTTGCGAGGTCAAAAGAGGAACAATTCTGCCTCTGGTCCATAAATTGAAGACATTTTATGCCGGAAACTTTGGGACAAGCCAGCAGTCTGATATAATAACTATTCTCATTCTATCACTGTTTCTTTTATTGCATGTAGCAGCCAAGTGGAGTCTATCTCATCATGCTGTGCACAGTAGACTAAGTGGAAAGCCTAACAAAAGCAGTTTTTAACGAGGCAAAAGTGATATACTGTAGCAGAAGAAGGGTAAGGGGGCAATGTACATGTGTCTCCAGGAGAAACAAGAGGAAATAAGAAAATGTAAACTGAATAATCCAAGGACCTACCGTTTGGGCCTGGTTCAGGGATAGGATAGTTCTCCTAAAGAGAGCAAAACAGAAAAAAAAAATCATTTAGTATGCATAATAAATTTACCTTATGAACATTTAAAAAAATTTTTAAAGTGGAATTCATTCAAATATTTCTTCTTAGAATTAACACAGGCTCAGGCCATACTGCTGTTACATGGTTGCCTGAGGGGCTATACTGTATAGTGCTGACTCTAATTGCTGTCCTCACCCCACCTAGCAGTGTACTTTGCCCAGGTCTAAGAAAAGAGTAAGCTACGAGCACCCCAAAATAGAAAGGATGTTTGGGCTGCTTCCCTAGATCTGCCTTCCCTATCAGATCTTCCTCTCTCCTGAAAGCACACATTTTTAGATACAGATTTGTTTGCTCTAGCAAACTCAGAAGGAAAGGATGAGGGTGTTTCCATCAGCTGCACGGTTTTTTTTTCCTCCAGACAGGTTGGAGAAAGTGTGTGTAATGCTGCTCTTTGCCTTCTGCAGAGCACAGACCAACACTTGGTTCTCTCTTCCAAAACCTCCCATGTGGAGTTTTAGAAGTAACCTTGGGAACACACAGAACCTGCATTTTGGCCACTGTCACAGGTTCAGAAAGCAATCTGCGCTATTCTGGTGTCCACAGCTGCTATTATTATTATTATTATTACTTATTTACCAAGCTTTTTTTCCTGATGCTAACTGGCTAGGAAATTCCTAGTGACGAGATAAGGAAGGACGGTGAGTGGCCAAATCCAAGTGTTCATTTTATTAATTCTTTAAAGGCAGCCAAGAAGAGGAAGAAGGATGCAAAATGTTCACAGCACCTACTATTTGCCAGACAGTGTGCATGGTACATGGTTGTCACCACAGAGCCCAGTTTGCAGATGTTAAACCTGAGGCTAGAAAGTTCATTGACTTGGCCAAGTTCATACCAACAGAGAGTGGATAAACCAAGGCTAAACCCAGATGTGTCTGCTCCCAAGTTTGCCTCCCTACATCCCACTGCATCCCCAAAGTGGAATATTCCATTTCTCTTTCAGAGGTGATGCAAGAAGCAGCCAATCAGGTGATGAGAATGTCTGAGCTGGGCCTCATGCAGAGCACTCTGGGAGGCACTATTCAAAGATTGCCTCCTTCTGAAAGCCTCCCCAAGGTACTTTTACAGGTAGCAATAAACCACACTGGGGCGATTTTACTAACAAACTAATAACCTTAATGCCAAAGACCATGCCTTCAGTCTCTCTGACACCAAATACAGTACTCTCCTATATGCCCCAAACCCAGTGGGTTTGTACTGGTTAAATAACCACTCCCCATAATAGTGCTTGCATGAAGGTCTGAGGTTCTCACTCATCTCAGATTACCAGATCTTTCTGTTGGAAATAGCTCAATGCTAATTTGAACTTCTGGTCTCCAGAGTGATCATAGGCAACACAGGATAACTGTCACCAAAATCTTCCTCAAAAAATTTGTTGGTCCCACATCTGACATTATACACATCAGGGACTACTGTATAGGTATGCTTCTGTTGTACTGGGTGAAATTTTAAATGTTAGGTTAAAACAGGCCTTTATTTCAAACACAGAACAGCACCCCACCTTCCCCACTAAAGGTCCTAGTAGGCAACTTCCCAGGCACTGAGAGAGAATTCCACAGTATATTCTCCATTGTGTGCCTCCAACTAGGCCAACCCTGAACAACCCCTTTGGTGATGGAGAGAAGGTAAAATTCCAGCAAAAAGCAACTGTTGGGCACACCAAGTAGGCCCTGGGTCACTAGAGATTACTAGTGTACATATTTGCTGGAGTTAACAGAGAGGGGACCAGCTGTGACTTTCCCAGACACTAGAGGGTGCTGTGCCAATAGCCTGGTTTTTCATTAGTAAAAGAACACATTATTATGAAGAAATTAAATACCTCTCCCCACAAACCAACTTTCCTTTTCTATTTTTCTTGCTGACTCCAGTCGCCCTTAAAACTCAGCCTGGCTCCTGACTCCCCTCTGCAAGAGACATGCCACCTGAGCACAAGACCATGTTAAGATCAGCCCTTAAGATTATAAATATTATTCTAAGCACAGCCGTGGAGCTCTCACAATGTTTTAGAAAATTATCACAGCATGGCTCCTAAGAAAAATCTTGTTTTTCATTTGTGGTTCTTTTGTGTGACATTGGCTACAATTCTCTCATTTACTTAATCTTCTTTTCTGTCTCAGGTTTCAGTGGTGATATTTATTTATTATTTCTCATTTATCAAAGTTTATTAGTTCCTCTGAGATCTGGAATGTTTGCTTTTATCCTGATGACCCAATCAGGCATTTTTAAGGTTTCCTGAACAGGATTTCTTATCTGTGAGTGATAATAACAAGAGGATAAAGAGTTGAGCAACTGTTCTTTACTGTAGTTATGTCAATTTCTCAGTATTTTTCAATTCAAGTCAGAAATCCTTCACATATATATTCTCCTTCCTATTCTCATGAGGTTCCCCCCTTCCAATTCTGAACAAATCATGGAAATACTTCAGGAAAAACTGCAGGAACATGGGATGATCTCAGATGTCTCTAGCATCCTAAATGTCATCTTGCCTTTCCCAAACATATTTTCTCAAATTAGCCTAAATAATTATTTCCTAAACATATCCTAATGGTCCCCTTTCCTCTACTTCCACCTGCACATCTGAGTTCATGCCTTCAATACATCTTGCATGGGCCATAGAACTGGTCTCAATATAAGAAATCGAAAGATGCCTTTCCCCTCCTCCAGGCATCCTTAATGGTGCAGTGGTAAAGAACTCAACCCCTGGAACTGTCTGCCCACGTGCTGTGTGATCTTGGGATGATTACATAACCCTCCTGCCCTCAATCTCCTCTTTGTTTAACGAAGATAATCATAAAAGAGAGATCCGGACTCAGTAAATAAGTTAGCTCTTATTACAAAAGAAATAAAATCAAAGTTTTCCAATAATTAGCTCACAGTACGATTGAACCAGCTCTGGGCAATGTTGTCTTTTTCCTTTTGAAAGGGTAAAGTTTTAAAATCGTTTTGGAGAAAAGATGTATTTCCCTTTTTTTCATGTCAATATTAGGAGAACTTGACTGCACCTTTAAAGGCTGGAATGTGGAAGAAGTAGGATTCTAGTAATATTTTATGCTTGATTCTATCAGCTGTGGATAGGAGTGTAAAGCCACATCCTCTGCCTTAGAGTGAGTGACAGCAGGCAGGGCTTGGAGAAAGTGGCCGTCCATGCCTCAGGTCCTCAAATCCCACTTTTGCCTCGGGTCCCTGCCTGCCAGGTCTCCTGTCAATCAGTTGGCTGACTGGCCTGCACTTAAGGACAGCACAGCAGGAGACCTTATTTTTGCTTCCCTCCCTCTTCAACTTTCCCCCTGAGTGCTTGAGGGTGGGAGGAAAATGCAAAGGTTTCCCAGTTAACTCTTTTGTCATAAGACACTTTATTCTTGGTGTTATTCCTGGCAAACACAGAGTAAAAGGGTCAGACACTCTCTCAAAGTCCACTCAGCCAGTCTCCAGCCCAGGATCTCAGGGCTCCAATCCTGCTGCCCTGCAAACCTTCTCAAACCTATTCTGCATTCACTCCCATACCTCCCAGGGGACCATTTCTCCTCTGGCCAATCCATCTCCTTCTTCAAGATCCTACATGAGACAGGAAGTGAGAAAAAGGGAGCCATCTGGGATGACTTGCTAATTCCTGTGGGAACTCAGGGATATTTAGGTTTGAATGTGTTGGGATTGAGGAGTCTGGGGACATTCAGGTGGGGCTGTCCAATAGGCCGTTATATTCCTGGAACTGGTGCTCAGGCATGGGTCAGAAATAGAGACTCATAAACATGAATCATGAACACAGAACAAAGCAAGAAGACTTCTCTGTCCTCAACAGGCTGGGAAGGTAAACCCTGCATCTCCTTTGAGCTTCCCTGGCACCTGGAATTCAATCTGTACAGGATGGTTAAAGGGTTAATTAATTCTCAGCCGTGATAAAAAAAACTTTCAAAAAATTCCTTCTAATTCAAAACGCATAAATATTACCATACATGAACCTATTAGATGGTCTTTTTATTTTAAGCAAAATTATGAAGTCTCTAAAGTTTGCCTGATGCTTTAGTCTGTTAGTAATACTGAATAAGCACTCACTGTGTTCAAGTCTATGAAACTGAACGTTCGCAATTTTTAAATTTAAAAATTATTTAACTGAATATCACTTCGTAAAATCTGAATATATTTTCTCCAGTTACTAATGTTTTTAGTTTAAACTTGGTTTGGGGAAAACCATGAGCTTTAATAGCTACACTAAAAGATTTATCAAGTGGATACCAATACTGTATATGTCAGTATATACTTCTCAATTTCTGTCATGCAATTTTAAAAGAGAAACTTTCCTCACACCCATAATTCTAGTTTTTCCTCTCAGAATAAGGCTACTTTACCATATTTCTTAGTAGTACTAGGACTTATTACAAAAAATGTTAAAATCCATTTCTAATATCGTTTACTGCTCTTTCTGCTTTTAGATGAAAATATTAGCTTTCATCTAAAAGCAGAAAGAGCAGTAAACGATAGTTCTTCTTGGTCTTTTGCAGACAAAGGCACTGCTTTTCCATTAGCGATTGGCAGAAATGGCAGTATTTGCTGGATTTAATTTCCTGTTTATCTGGTTTGGGTTTTATTTTAATGCTGGAACATAAGATAAAGGGAAAGAAGGTATTTTTTTGGACTATTTACTACCACCCAATTTTCTCTTTTTCTGAGTTCTAGATTCCATTTTCAGTCTCCACTGCCTCTGACTGGTACATCTAGCTCAAATATTAAAGACTAAGTACCTGTATTTCTTCACTCAGTAAATGCTTCTCCTTAAAGTCTAGAAGGGCCCTTTAAATTTGATCACATAAAAGCTGCTGGCTCTGTCAGCCGGGTAAAACTACCAGGGATATATAATGCTCAAGACCACTTGGGTTGCAGGTGTTCAAGGCTCTCTCTTTCTACAATCCCCCCACTCCTCACCTAAAACTCTTAATAAAGTA